GCCTCTGTGTATGCACATGTGTGTGAGGGTACCCCTGCATCTGGGTATGTACACATGTGTGAGGATACCCTTGGGGGCCAGAAGAGGCCTTCTGGAGGAGGAACTGGAGTTACAGTTAGCTGTGAGTCTCCGGATATCCCTGGTAGGAACTGAATTAGAATCTTCTGCAAAGCAGCAAGCGCTTGTAACTGTTAAGCCATCTCTCAAGCCCTGAAGACAAGTCTCTTGAGTCCCCTGTCTACTCTGGTATTTTGTTTTAGGAGCCTGAAGTAAGACAGCATCCTCAGAGAGTTATTGTTTCTCAGTGATGAGAAAGAAAGGCGTGGAGAGTTGTTTTGGCCGGGGGAGCAGTCAGTGCAAAGGTCCTGAGATTTCCTTCTTACAGTCAAGGAGCAGAGAGGGTCAAGGGAAGAGCAGAGGGCAGGGAGTAGGAGGCCAGAAAGGACTTTGGCTCATCCTGGGGGTCAGAAAGGGACCAGTGGAGTGTTCTGGAAGAAGAGAGAGAGCTAATCGGACATGTGTGGCCAACAGATGCTGCCATGGAAATCAACAGTTCATGGGCACCATTTAGTTTAGGGACCATGTATATTGTCTGTGGCAGGCTGGGTGCCAAGCCCCGAGATGGGCATCTGCGTATTCCATAGCAGAACCACACCCTGTGTGGGCTGAGATCATTTCTTCTATGTAATTGAAAAGGAAACTGAGGCTCAGGGCAGATGAGGAGTGGATTCCATCTACAGTACTGACAGAGCTGAACACTTACCAGGCCCTCCTTCCTCCAGACCGTTCCCGTTTTCACTAGCAAAGCTTTGCACACACAGCAAGCACTCAATGAAGGTGCACTGGCCAGGTAAGTGTGAGCACCTATGGCATGATAGACTAGCATGCCACTGGGTACAGAGAGGTTAAGTGTCAAGGGTGCCAGGCTGAGGAGCCAGTGTCCACTTACTGAGCTCGGCGATGCTGCCCACACGTGTGGCCAGCAGGGACTGTTCGATGGTCCTCAGCTCCGACTGGCTGAACATGGGTAGTTCTCCAGGCTTGCTGGGCCGCTGTGGGTCTCGGTGCAGGTTCAGGCTCTCTGGCAAGCTCAGCACACCTGAGACAGAGAAGAATAAATTGTTACTTTTCAGTTCACCAGAAGATGAGAAGGGAACCCATGCTCTGGACTCTCAATGCCTTTTGAGACAGGATAGTATATAGAGCTCAGGCTGGCTGAAAACTCATTATGTAGCCAAGGATGACCTTGAACTTCTAACCCTCCTGCCTGTGTCTCCTGAGTGCTGGCATTACAGTGCTGTGCATACCCACTTGCAGTTTATTTGGTGCTGGGGATTAAACTCTGGGCTGTATCCATGCTAGGCATACAGAAACCAGCTGAACTGCATCCCCAGCCCTGGACCCCTTTTAGACATGGATGCTGATTTTAACAAATGTGAGCATTGTCTGGACACTACATTTCCAAAGACCACAAAACAGAATCTTTCCCCGGCCTGGCAATGATTCTGTCCACTGAAAGATTCTTCTCCTGAACCCAGAGATCACTGCATCATCCTCCCTCCCAGAGACAGCCTAATAATTCTGGTGTTGGGGAGGCAGTCCCTGCTGGTGGTGGCCTCTGAAGACTTCCTTCATTGACTCAGTAAATTAACTGATGTGGACGGGATGTGATCTCATGGCAAGGCTTTGGGATTTCTCTGTCGTGATGCATATGGGGGTGGAGGTCAGGGGAAAGTCTCTAAGACTTCAGTACCGTGTGCAGTGAAAGTCCACAGAAATCCCCAGAACACAGCACTCTTGCCTCCCATTCTGCTCTGCAAACCTTCAGTGACAGCCTAAACATGGCTATGTGGCCTACCCAGAGGCATTTACCCATCCGTAGCCACCCCAGGAGGAGACAGTGTGGTCCTGCTCAAGTCTGATTAATAGACTTACTTTGATCAAGGCTATGTTAACAGAATCAGAGGCCTGAAAAATGCTTGTGACATTGAACTTGCTATCTTGAGCTCTGCCTTTATCATGGGCAAAACATGACCTGGCTAGCTGGCTCATCTAAGGAAGGAGAGAGAGAGAGAGAGAGAGAGAGAGAGAGAGAGAGAGAGAGAGAGAGAGAGAGAGAACGGTTAACGTACAGGTGCTGGGCGATGTTAGTCCACTGGCAGAGGGAGAGGAAGCAGAATGTGAAGCCAGCACTCCACTTCACTCCCCATCCTGCTCACATCACAGATCTCAGTGGCTCCACCCATATCCTGCCACTCATGGTGCTGGCTGAGACCATGGAGAAGGCAGCTAGAGCAAACCTTGTTTTGAATGAATGATAACAGTGGCTAAAGGATACAAATGCCCATTCCATTTTAACATTCCTATAGTCCTGGAAATGATAAGTTTCCATTAAGGACTGTTTCCAACTGCCTATTTGTCAAACACTTTGTAGCTCCGAAGAACGTACTTTGTATCACAGCCCAGTGCACAACAATATGCTTTTCATGTTCGCCTTCAACAATCTTCCACAGAAAGCTGCCTGCCTTTACTGTGTTTTTGTTTTCCCTTCTCTTCTGTCTTATCAATAGTAAAAACGAAATGAAACAAAACGGATGGCTGCAGCCCCTGATGGCTTCGAGGACCCACTGAGGAGCTGGAACAGGCAGTGTGGGTGTGACACACCACACCCGGCAGGCAGGCCAACACAGCCTCACTGTTCACGGGATACCTGAAGATCTTCCAGTTTTCAGGGATGACTCGACCTTCAGAGAGATGCCCACCATGCAGCGGACACTTTTGCCTCTCTAACATCCTCCTTCTGGACCCAGGCCGTGATGCTCTAATCCTTCCTTACATGACCTGTGACGTCAGAGGCCAGACCAAGAAGCTGTTGCCATGGCAATGAGTCTTGGGTCTGTCCCTCACTGAGGTCCCTGATGTGTCTCTGTGACTCTAGCACAGGACCTCCTACCCTCTTAAGGAGGTAACTACAAATGACAACAGAAAATCAGGACCCAGGACTGAGGTAAGTCTCACGGACCTCTCTCTTGCCCGGGGGTGGGGGGCAGGATTAGGGGCCTTAAACAGCCAAGAATGATGTCTTGAACCTCACTGGCTATGTATTAACCAGATCTGCAGCCGTATGCTGCTCCACCAGGATCAACAGGCGCCGGAGAAAGAAACTTGAGTCTGGAACCCCCACAGGAGAAAGAAATTTGGGTCTGAACCCCAAGCCTCACCCTGGCCTGACGCTTCCAGTACTTGACCTTGGACAGGCCACAGAACCTCTCTGGACCTTGGTGCCCTCTTCTATGAAGTGGGGGATGGGACAAATCACTGGATTCTCCTTTTCTCTGGGGTGTCAGGGGAGTGAAATGAGATCTTGTGGGCTAGCTTTCATGTGCTAAGCAGAAAGGCCCTCCACACATGGACCTGAGATGAAATCAGCATACAAACCCCTGCTGTGGATTTCTTCACACTTCACTGGGCAGATGAACAATCCCTATTGGAACTGCTTTGGAGAGTTATGATATGGGAATTATTTATTCAAAGACGCTTTAAAAACTAGATGACAGAGATTTATAAAATCTATAATTGATCTATTATGCCAAGATTATATATCAGTCTTTTCTTTTTGAGAACTCCATATAGGGTGTCTTAGTTAAGATTTTATCACTGTGCTGAGACACCAAGACCACGGCAACTGTTATATAGGAAATCATTTAATTGGGGCTGGCTTACAGTTCAGAGGTTTAGTCAGTTGTTGTCATGGTGGGAAGCATGGAGGCATGCTGGCAGACATGGTGCTGGAGAAGGAGCCGAGTATTCTACATCCAGATTGAATTGGCAGGCAGCAGGAAGAGAAAGCGAGCCCCTGGGCCTGGCTTGGGCTTCTGAAACCTCAAAGCCCACCCCAGTGACACACTTCCTCCAGCAAGGCCACATCTCCTTGTTAGGCCACTCCCTACAAGTCCACAGATGGCATTTTCATTAAAACCACCACATAGGACTTAACACATAAACTGAAATAATTATTTTTTTTTCTAGTGTAAGAGAGTACCTATGTGAATAAGAAGGCCAGAGCATCATTTTTAGTATCGATGAAAGCCTATTATTGCATCTGAGGACAGAATGGCTTGGTGATTAAGACCCAAGTTCAAAACTGAAGTTCGGGGGCTGGTAGGGGAGATGGCTCAGCCAGTCGAGTATTTGCTGTAAGCATGAGGAACTGAGAAGGTTACATAGAAGCCAGATATAGCAGCATGCACCTGCAACCCTAGCCCCGGGGGTTGGGGTACAGAGAGGGGCTAGCCAGCCAGCCTAGCCAAATTAGCGAGCCCTAGGTTCAGGGGAGACCTTGTCTAAAAAAATCAGATTGAGATTGATGGAGGAAGACTGCTGATGTTGACTTACAGACTCCATACACAACTTGCACATATATGCACACTCACCAGCGTGTACACACACACACACACACACACACACACACACACACACGCACGCACGCACGCACGCACGCACGCACGCACGCACGCACGCACACATGGTGCACCTGAGGAATTTGTCTTTGTGAGACTGGTGGTTCGTGTATTTTACATTTGGCTGAGGAGGGAGTGCATTCAAACCCTCAAAAAGGGTTGACGGCTCTTAAAAATCCCATCAAGGGTGCAGGAGAGCTGGACCTATGGGCCTGAGAGCAGGACAGCTGCCCCGGCCCCTCCCTCGGATAGCACAGGGTAGCAAAGGTAAGGCAAATGTGCCCCTCCTTGCTACCTGCAGGAAAGCCGGCCTCGGGGAGATGAGAACAGAAGAGCTGGCTCTGTCCCTCACCCCAATCTGGAGAATGGGCCCTGCACCTCACCTGGGTAAAGCAGTAGAGCTACCCTGGTTGTGTGAATGTGGGTGAGCCGGACCCGAGGGTGTGAGAGCAGAACACAGCTCCTTGCTCTCTGCCATATTGGATGAGCTAGCAGGAGGCAGTGCTGGAGAGCTTGCCCTGGTGGTGACAATGAGGGAAAGCTGGCAGGCGGACCAACCCAGCTACCACCCAGGCCCAGAACCAGGGCTGGGAGTTGGCCACCCCCTCCCCCACCCCCTCTGTGAACTGCTGGAGCATGTGAAGGGGCCGGTCCCGCAGACCCACAGCTGTAGGACCTCCATGACATAGGACATCCAGGGGGAGCCCCAGTGAGGACTCAGTACTGATGGGGTAGCAGAAGCCAGAGGCCTCGAACCAGACCAATGACTCACTGCAATGAACACTTGCAAGGAAAGATGTGTGGACGAAAGGGTGTACTGTGTGACTCACTGTGCCACACTCCAGCTTCCATGCCAAGATTTTTTAAAATTTGTTTTGTTTTGGCTTTACTTTTAAATTTTGTTTTGGGGAGAGACTGCAAGGGCAGAGGGTGGAAACCAGGGGACGGGGCGGCGCGGGTGGTGGTGGTGGTATGAGTGGGATTGGGATACATGATGTGAAATCCACAAAGAATCAATAAAAAGTTTTAAAAAAATCAATTTCCCATTAAGATCCATTCATTTCACTCCTAGGTATTTAACCAAATATTATTTGAAATAAATATTGAACTATTGAAAATTAAAAAAAAATATATGATCAATTTATGTCTGTGAATGCCGAATTCACAGCCATCAAGGTTTCACGGCTGCTGCTGAGGAGCAGAAAGGCCAGCATTGCCTGACCTACAGAGCTGAGCTCCCTCTCAAGACAGAGCAAACTTCTCCAATGTCCTGGTAGTTTCCCTAGCTGCAGAGAGCAGTTAAATGATGACCGTTGTGGGTTATTGTGAGGATTAAACAAAAACACACTGAGAACCTCTGGCCTCCAGTGTGAGAGCCTCATAGATACTCCGCCCTATGGAGCATGAAGTCTCATCTATTCACCATCTGGATTCAGTCTTGAGGGTCATCTTTCCAAAGTCTTGTGTGACTGGACAAAGAGAATCTTTTGGTCAGGTCACTCAGAACGAAAACTGTAAGAAGTGCTGCTCTGTGTGAGATCTTGGACCCACTACGTCCAGCGCCTTATCTGTCACGGAGGCCATCAGGCTCTTACGGCCTGCTTCTGCTCTGAGGTGCATAGCACGGCCCTGTGGCAAA